CTGTCATTATATAGATGGGGAACTAAGGTACAATTTAAGCCACAAATTGCAGGATTTACTACCAACCCCTTCCTACCACTATCTCTATCACTTGCTTCTATGGGTTTCTATGATGATGTCTACATTTCAATTGGCTTAATTGTCTGCTATAACACTTTAACTCTTGTATAAAATAAAAGCATAGTACCTTGTATATTACAGGGACTCATTAAATATTTGATTTCTATGGAAGAAAGTAAACTAGCCTTTGCTAATTTCCCATTTCATATCATTATTCATAGAAATTTGAGCCTGGAAAAATATTTCAAGAGTACTCTTATCCATCTTTTCCATCTTTTCTAGACAGAGGAGAATCCCATCTCAGAGGTTAACTGCCTTATGCAGGCCTTTCAAGCACAGGTGTTGGACTAATGGGAACATCCCAAGACATGAAAATCACCACTTCTTTGCCTACATATATGGCACGTTTCAGAGGGATTAATACTTAAAAACTTTATTTTCAATCATAACTTGCAAACATTGATAGTTGTTTTTCAACTTTTTTTATTTTTATTTTTATTTTTGGGACAGAGAGAGACAGAGCATGAACGGGGGAGGGGCAGAGAGAGAGGGAGACACAGAATCGGAAACAGGCTCCAGGCTCCGAGCCATCAGCCCAGAGCCCGACGCGGGGCTCGAACTCACGGACCGCGAGATCGTGACCTGGCTGAAGTCGGACGCTTAACCGACTGCGCCACCCAGGCACCCCAATAGTTGTTTTTGAAAACAGAAAAAAAAAATTCCATTGGGGAAAATGTTTATTTTTCAGGAATTCTCATAGTGGGTTAGGCCTTGCATTTCATTTAGCTTAAAACCCCATTTGATGCAAAATCCCTTTTTCTTTTGCCTTGAAAATAATAGTAAGTTATTGAAAGGTCAGGCAATTCTGAAATGTGAACAAACTCAGACCAAGAGAAAATGGCTTTGAAACACTAGATACAAGTTAACAGGTAGTAGCAACAACACTGCAGAAAGCAAAAGAGGTAGAATGGTCCCTGTGACCTCCTGGTGCAAAAGACAAATCCATTTCATCTCATTTCTGTGGAAATTCAAAATCATAAAGTCAGGGTAGCATGAAAATCACCAAGTTACATAAGACTAATATGAAGGTATAATGAATGGCCCAAAGAAAAGTGAGTGAGGTGAGATGGCCTGGCATGGCCCATCTCTTTTTTTATATTGTGATCAATATAATAACAGGAAAGTTGGGAATGCCTGCCTAAGCTCTGCTATTCAGCACTTACTTGAGTTTCTTACCAATTATTTCTTCGATCATGTCAATACTGAGCACATATCAGCTTTTGATATTTGGAATGTTTGGAAATCTTTTAATAGCTTGGCCCTAGGCAACTTCTAAAACTCATGTTTCTAGAAATACATTGAAAAAAAAAAAAAACATGTCAGAGTTCACTGAGGTTTGCATTCTCTGGGTTATATATTTTCACCAGCAAGAAGTGTTGAGTAACTTTAGTGAAATGGTTTATAGATTGTGAGAACCATGGGATGATAATAGAGCTGAAGGTCCCAGAAGGATCAAGTCAAAAATTCATCTTCCTCATTTTATAGTTGAGAAAACTGAGGCCCGCATCCATCTTCAAGATCATTTGGCTGGTTAGTAGCAACCCCAGGCTGGATCATTTAGTGGCTTGATGACATCATCAAGGACATAGGTTCTTTCCAATGTTCAGGTTTGCTCTTCTCTAAGTATCAACTTTTTCCAGACTTGTTTGTCTCATGATAGGAAAGTAGTGGAAGCAGCTCTGGGAATCACATCTAGATATAATATTGCCCAGCTGAAAAAGAGGAAACTGTCTTTTTTGTCCTATGTAAGAGTAAGAAACCCTTTCCTAGAAACTTCCAGTAGACTTCTCATTTCTAATTGGTCAGAACTGGGTCATGTGTCCTTTCTAAAGCAATTATTGGCAATGAAGGTAAGAATGCCCTAGACCAGTTAGGATTTACTCTCTGGGGCTGGGCATTGGAGCAGCCTCTCTTGAGGAAATGGCCACATAAAGGACAGCTATTTGAACAAAATCGGTTATTTTAACATATATTTACAGGGAAAATAGATACTGAATAGGCAACCTGTAGAATCATTTACACTCTGCAAGTAGCTCAGAGCCTCAAGTAACAGCTGAAGATAATTGAAAATGATTTATTTTAGAAACCTACAGAGAATTTCTTTGCTATTTCTTGCTCTACTATGCCTATTTTTTTTTCTTCTTTCCTATCTGCCTTACTACTTTCTCCCTCCTTCTGCTTCTCCTGAACTGGCTATGAATCAAAATTAGTCTACACCACTTTGACGGCCTACTGTGTGTAAAGCATCATATTAATGTAACAATCTTTGAGGAGTGTTTATTAAAATGCTATAAGCCATATTACTTAAAAGCCAGTTTATTATTTTTTATTAATCAATTTCTAACTAAATTGCTACTTAATATCAAAGATTTGTTTGTTTCTTTCTTTTTATCCTGGTAATAAAAAAATCTCCCACAGAGAAAAGATTTCCACTGAGTTGCTGGCACCAAAATACATAAAAATCCCCTACAAAGCATGGATTTTTTTTCATTGTATCTCAATATATTACTATCTTCTACTGGTCATTTCATTCCATAATCCAAATTACATTCTCCACTAGAAGGTCTTTTTTTTCCTTAAAATCCACTATAGCTTCTTGTCCCAAAGACCATATTGGTACCACTGAACTAACTGAAAAGGATCAGTTGCTTTGAGTCCCAAAACTTGCTGGAATATTGAAATGAGTATTATTCTTTAGCTCTGAAGGAGTCTAATGTGAATAATCATGAATTATGACATAAATTTATGAGATGATCATAAATAAGATGATTATTTTTTTACATAATAATCCTTCATTAAAGATAGGCCAGTTCTTTCACATACATTTTTCAGGAAAGAAAAAACTAGCTAAGTCTCCATAAAAATATTTACCATTTTTATGCCTTTTTGTAGATTGTTTCTAAATCTTAGTTTTCTTTTTGTTAGAATTAAAAAAATAAAAATACAAAGGATAGGGTCATCCTATAATTTACTATCCAACTGGAGTATTTCTTGCATGTTTTTCTTCAGGGAATCTTTCAGGCTTTCTTGGGGGGAAGATTTGTTTTTTTTTTTAATTTTTTTAAATGTTTGTTTTTAAGAGAGAGAGAGAGAGACAGAGTGCAAGCAGAGGAGGGGCAGAGAGAGAGGGAGACACAAAATCCAAAGCAGGCTCCAGGCTCTGAGCTGTCAGCACAGAACCCAGTGTGGGGCTCAAATTCACAAACCATCAGATCATGACCTGAGCTGAAATCAGACGCTTAACTGACTAAGCCACCCAGGTGCCCCAAGGGGGGAGAAGATGTTTTGATTGAAGTATAACATATATGAAGAAAAGTACACATAATTGTAAGTGAATTGTCACAAACTAAATAAATCTATGAAACCAATATCCAAGTTAAAAATCTATGAAATCAGCATCCAGATTAAGAAAGAATATTACCAACATTCAAGCTGAAATACCTTTGAGAGTGAAAGGTGGCATTTTTTAAAATGTGTAATTGAGGTATAATTGATACATAATAAACTTCACCTATTTAATTGTACAGTTTGGTAAGTTTTGACATATACTTGTGAAATTATTGCCACAGTCAAGATAATAAACATCTTCAAAAGTCCTTGTGCCACTTTGTAATCTCTCCTTTCATCTCCCTTTTCTAACCCCAGGCAACCACTGATCTCATTTTGATCACAAGTTTGCTTTTTTTAACTTTTATATAAACAGAATCATATACTATGTCCTTTTTTGTATGACTTCTTTTACAAAGAGATTCTTACATGTTTTGTGAATCAATAGTTTCTTCCTATTTGTTTCTGAGTAGTGTTCCACCGTACGGCTATACTATAATTTGTCTATTCTCTTATTGATGAACATTTGGGTTTCCAGTTTGGAGTTATTACAAATAAAACTCCTATGAACATTCATGCAGAAGTATTGGTATCGGCATATGTATTCATTTTTCATATGTAAACATCTAGGCATAAAATGGCTGGGTGATATGGTAGGTGTGTTTAAGTTTTTAAGAAACTATCAGATAATTTTCCAAAGTAGTCACACCATTTTATATTCTTTACAGCAATGTATTAAAAGTATAGTTTCTCTACATCTTCATATTCAGCAACAATTGGTATGATCAGTGTTTATAATTTGAGCCATTCTAGTGAGTGTGTCATGGCATCTCATTTTGGCTTTAATTTGCATTCTCCTAATGACTAATGATGGTGAACATGTTTTCATGTGCTTATTGAGGGAGTTCTACTCTTATTTACCCCAAGACAGCAGGTATAAAGTAGAACAGTCCTGGGAAAATTGGGATATATGGTGACCTAAACAAACAGAAATGAAAGATTTATTTGCAGATATTGCAATTATCTTACATTTTTGGAATAAATACCACTTGATCCTAACATACATGATATACCACATTAACAAAATGAAGGGTAAAAATCATATGATCATTTCAATAGATGCAGAAAAGCACTTGACAAAATTCAATATCCACTCATGATTAAAAAAAAAAAACTCTTTCAGAAAACCAGATATAGAAGGAATGTACCTCAACATAATAAAGGCTGTATATAATAAACCCACAGCTAACATCATGTTCAACAATGATAAGTCAAAAGATTTTCCTCTAAGATCAGGAACAACACAAGGATATCCCCTTTTGCCACTTAAAAACATTTTTTTCATGTTTATTTATTTTTGAGACAGGGAGAGACAGAGCATGAACAGGGGAGGGTCAGAGAGAGGGAGACACAGAATCTGAAACAGGCTCCAGGCTCTGAACTGTCAGCACAGAGCCCGACGCGGGGCTGGAACTCACGGACCGCAAAATCATGGTCCGAGCCGAAGACGGCCGCTTAACCGACTGAGCCACCCAGGCGCCCCCGCCACTTTCAATCAACATGGTACTGGAAGGCCTAGACAGAGAAATCAGGCAAAAAGGAGAAAAAAAAAATTAAAAATAAAGAAAGAAAAGGCATCCAAATTGGAAAGGAATCTATTTGTTGATGACATCAGATTATATATATAGAAAACCCTAAAGACTCTACCAAAAACTGTTAGAACTAATAAATGAATTCAGTAAAGTTGCAGGATACAAAAACAATACTTAAAAATCAGTTGCATTTCTACATACTAATAAACTATCAGAAAGGAAAATTAAGAACAATGCATTGACAATCGTATCATAAAGAATAAAATACTTATGATTTAACCAAGGAGGTGAAAGGCTTATAGACTAAAAGCTATAAAAAACTGATGAAAGAAACTGAAAACACAAATAAATTGAAAACTACTCCAAGCTCATGTTTTGGAAGAATTAATATGGTTAAAATGCTTGTACTACCCAGGCTTAGTTGTTAAGCATCTGACTTCAGCTCAGGTCTTGATATCACAGTTTGTGAGCTCGAGCCCCACTTCAGGTGAGCTCAAGCCCTGCTTTGGGTAAAACATGAGCCCCACCTCGTGTGATCCTGCTTCTCTCTGTCTCTCCTCTCACTCTCTCTTTATTTCTGCCCTTTCCTCACTTGCACCTTCTCTCTCTCTCTCAAAAAAAAAACAAAAAACAAAAAACAAAAAACAATGCTTGTACCAACCAATGTACAGATTCAGTGCAATTCTTATCAAAATCCTAATGACATTTTTCACCAAATAGAACAAAAAATCCTAAAATTTGTATGAAACCATAAAAGACTGAATAGTCAAAGCAATCTTGAGAAAGAAAAAAGCTGGAGGCATCATACTTTCTGATTTCAACATATATTACAAGCTTTAGTCATCAAAACAGTATGGTACTGCCATGAAAAGAGACATATAGATCAATGGAACAGAATAGAGAGCCCAGAAATAAATCCACACATATATGGCCAATTCATTCATGACAAAGTAGCCATGAATATAGAGTGGGGAAAGGATAGTTTCTTCAACAAATGGTGTTGGGAAAACTGGACAGCCACATGCAAAAGAACGAAAGTGGACCCTTATCTTACACCATTCACAACAATCAATTCAAAATGGCTTAAAGATGTGAATGTAAGACCTGAAACCATAAAACTCCTAGAAGAAGACATAGGTGGTAAACTCCTTGAGTTTTCTCTTGGCGATGATTTTTTTTTTTTAATTTGACACCAAAAGCAAAGGCAACAAAAGCAAAATTTAAGAAGTGGAACCACATTAAACTAAAAAGCTTCCACACAACAAAAGAAATCATTAACAAAAAGAAAATGCAACTTGCAGAATGGGATAAAATAACTGCAAATAATATATCCAATAAGGAGTTAATATCTAAAACACATAAAGAATTCACACAATTCAATAGCAAAAAATGAACAATCCAATAATAAATGAGCAGAAGAACTCAATACACATTTTCCCAAAGAAGACAAATGGCCAACTGGTAAATGAAAGGGTGCTTGGCTTTATAAATTATCAGGGATATACAAATCAAAACCACAGTGAAATATCACCTTGCACCTGTTAAAATGACTATTATCAAAAAGACAGGAGATAATAAGGATGACCCTTTATGCACTGTTACTAGGAATGTAAATGTGCAGCCATTATGGAAAACAGTATGAAGCTTCCTCAAAAAACTAAAATACAGAACGACCATATGATCCAGCAATTCCACTTCTGGGTATTTGAAGAAAATGAAATCACTACATCAAAAGACATCTGCACCCCCATGTTCACTGAAGCATTATATACAATAGCCAAGACATGGGAGCAACTTAAGTGTTCACGGATAGATGAATAGATAAAGAAAATGTAGTGTACATATATAGTACAACACTATCCAACCATAAAAAAGAAGGAAATCCTGCCACTTGCAACAACATGGATGGACCTTAAGGGCATTATGTTAAGTGAAGTCAGACTGAGAAAGACAAATTCTATATGATCTTACTTACATGAGGAATCTAAAAAACTGAACTCACAAGCACAGAGGGCAGATTGGTAGTTCCCAGAATCGGGAAGTGGAAAGGGGGCAAAACAGATGAAGGTACTCAAAAGGTAGAAATTTCGAGTTATAAAATAAATAAGTTCTGGGTCTCTAATTTACAGCATGGTGACTATAGTTGACAATACTATACTCCACATTTGAAACTTGCTAAGAAAGTAGACCTTAAAAGTTTTCATCACAAGAAAAATAAATTGTAACTATATAAGGTGACAGATGTTAATTACATTTATTGTGGCAATTGTTTTACAATACATACATATATCAAATCATTATGTTGTATATGAAATGTAATACAAGGTCATAAGTCAATTATATCTCAATAAAACTGAAGGGAAAAAAAGAAAAGTGAAAGAGGTAATGGGAGAGGAATATGGGGAAAGAAGAAAAAAGCCTCTTGGGTTATAAGATTGTGACAATGCTTTGTTATCATAAAGTTACACAAAATTTTATCTGTTATTACATAAGTTAATAATAATAATTAAATTGTTTAATTTTCTCCCAAAGGAGAAGAATGGCAAAAATTATATTCTTGATTAAAGGATCTGAGGGTCACTATTTTTATAAAAGTTAGCAAAATGCTATGTTTAAATTTTTTTTAACGTTTTTTTTTTTTATTTATTTTTGAGACAGAGAGAGACAGAGCATGAACAGGGGAGGGTCAGAGAGAGGGAGACACAGAATCTGAAACAGGCTCCACGCTCTGAGCTGTCAGCACAGAGCCCGACGCGGGGCTCGAACTCATGGACCGCGAGATCATGACCTGAGCTGAAGTCGGCCGCTTAACTGACTGAGCCATCCAGGCGCCCCCAAAATGCTATGTTGAAAATGTATATTTTAAAATCCAGGATATTAGGTAATATTTTTATATGCAGTGCTGTTATTGAAATTATTCTGAACAACCTATAATACTTTGTACATAGTAGGGTCTCAAATGTTTGTTAGGAACAAACACTAGGATTAAACATTAGCCTTCCTAATGGCTTTGGTATTTGATTTCCAGATGATTTCCAGATGACACATATTATTATATACATTTACATATAAATATATATCAACTGGCATATACAGTAACACTTCAAAAAGTACATACTAAATAGTATAATATAGTAACCATCTCATAACATTGTACTTAATGTGGCTCAGTTTCACAGACCAGTGTCAATGGTTCTTTCTCCGAAAGCAATTCTAGCCTTTCTTTTTTTCTTTAGTGCAACAAAGCATATGTGTAAGATTATAGAATGCTGAGGCCTCTTTTGGAGAAACTTTGCCAGGCATCTTTGAGGAGACAATTGGAGATAATGAGAGACATTTGATTAAGCATTTTGAACTATAGGTGTTTTGTTCTTCTGCACTTCTTGTGAGAGAGAGAGAGAGAGAGAGAGAGAGTGAGCGAACAAGCCATACTGGCAATTGCAGATGTTTATAAATACTCAGATTTTTTTTGGTTACAATTATCTTTTCAAGTGAAATAACCGCTGTCTATAGGGTAGAGCAGTAAGTTTATGCAGGAGAACATGAAAATATCCTATTAAATTAGTTAGAATCTATATCTACAGGGCATGATATTCAGGGCATTATGTGATATTTTTATATGCAGTGTTGTTATTGAAATGATTCTGAATAACCCAGAATGCTTTGTACATAGTAGTATCAAATGTTGTTAGGATTAAATACTAAGATTAAAAACATTAGCCTTCCTAATGGCTTTAGTATTTGATTTCCAGATGACTAGAAGACTGCCTTTAATGTAATCATATGTGCTTTGAGATTTTCACAGTGATGAACAAAGAAAACATTTGAGCTGAAAGTCACTGGAAGTGGTTTGAACCATAAAAAATGGTAATAAAAAGTAAACCTGTCCTTAACTTGACAACCAAGCATGAATTTTTCTGGTTTTCTGTTGTATAGTTGAGAAAGCATTTCCTCCAGAATTGCTCAGTTTCAATGACAGAAAGTTTTTTCTAACACAAAAACCTCTTTCTTAGATGACTTTAGACAAATTTAAATAAAATTTTTTAGCTATAATGTCAGAGAGAAGCAGCTTTCTATGAGACAAAAGTTGTGTCCTTCCAAGCTTAGCTCCACTTATTAAAACCAGATGATTTGGGGCAATTCATTCGGCTGTGGTGAGCTTGCTTTTCAAAAGCTGGTTTTTATCTATACAGTTCGGGCACTAGTACCTGTTTATCTCAAAGGATTCATTTAGAAAATGAGAAAACCACCCCTTCTTTGAAGAAATCTGTCAGAATCACAAATAATTTAGGGTCAGGGCTGAATTAAGACTAGGTCTCCAAGTCCAAAACTGGGTCTCCTCTTCCAAACATAACACGAAATCTCATGAGGTAAGACAAAGAAGTTTGGATAATTAGTATGAAATTTCAGTTCACAGCTGGTTATATTGATCTTTCTTGATCCCTCTCCAGATTGTAGCTTCCTAAGCTGAAAACCACACAAAGTTCCAGATTGATGACTCTCTCTCTCTCTCTCTCTCTCTCTCTCTCTCTCTCTCTCTGAATCTAGACACCTTTCCCTCTTTTCTAAATTCACTTCTCTCACTTTGTCCAAAGCCAATATTTCTTGGAGTCCTCTTGACTCATCATTACCTATGCAAATCAAGAGTTTTCTGAAACTCGACTAAGCTAAGAAAATGTCTCTCCAGTAAGAATCAAACAGGACGTTACAAAGGGGAGAGTAAGGTTTTTGGCCAGAATAAGGCCAGATGGGGGGAAGACCCTTAGGAAGAATTAATCAGATTCAATGTCAATTTATATGCTGTTCACTTTAAACCCCACTATGGATATAGTTAGGTCAGAATTATAAATGAAAATCATTGAAAGCCTCAGTGCTTCCTGGGCCGCTGGTACTTCCAAATCACTGCATTCTTTCAAAATAATCACCATGGAAAACTCAAAGCTTTTTTCAATTGCTGACACCATTTTGGATTTTTCTTTACAA